CAGAAAACGACTTCTATATATGTATATATGCGTGTATCCATATGCATGTACTTATATAAGTGCATAGTTATTTACAGTAGCGCAGAATCAGCAAACATTTTGCAGCAATAATCAAATAATAGCTAAGCGTTGGTTTTACTACGACCTTGGAAAGACGACAACAATTTACTTGTGAGCCTTTTAGCCTGAAGTATGTATGTAGATACAATATTGCAGCAGCTTTCTACGTACCTTTTGTTTATTTTCCACTAATAATTAGTATGCTTTAGAAATATTTACGGAAATAGAGCACATGATTTCGTTCATTTTAGAGTTGAAGCAGGTAGTGAATTTTTCTTCAAACTGCATTTCGCTAAGTGCGGAGTTGTGTGGTTTAGTTGGGATTTCCCTGAATACCAGATATTTCGTAAATACGTACGCTTTTCTAAGGAATTACGCTATAATTGCACGTATACATATCGTCGTTTAAAGTGCAAAACCGCGTATCAACAAAATGCAAAACCGCGTATGTGAAGTTGTAGAATTTTTTTTTCTAGAGCGTAAAAACACTCATATTTCAAAATGGTTATCTTTTTTATAAATCAATCGCATTTCTGGCTAGTATATTTCAGGACGAATGGATAAGGATTGAGCCGAGAGCTTGTGTGAGCAAATCCAATTTTTGGCAGCCAATGTCAGTTACGCGGTTTTGCAGAATGACTATACGCGGTTTTGTACTTTAAACGACGATATATGCATTGTCGTCAGTGGTAGAAGGAATATAAAAGTCTTCCCACTTATGTAAAACAGTAGTAATTGCCTACTGCAGAGATGGGCAAATTGGCTCCCAGGAGCCTTTTGCACTGAGGAACCGGCTTGGCTCATTTAGGAGCCTGATGAGGGGGGCATCAAGAGCCAGCATGAAGGGGGAAGAGCGTAATAAAACAGATTGTACTCCGACTCTCATTACTAAACTGAAAGTAAGATTGTGTTGGTGAGCGCAGAGCAATTTGAGATACGGTGGGGTGAATCGTAAATGTAACGTATGTAGGTACGCTTTTAAGAATAACAAATTTTCCTCGAAAAAAGTAATTTTTCTTTTATACTACGTTCAAATTGACGAGCTAAACATGTTCAATGGGCTTGAACCAGTTGAATGAACAAGACATGTTCATAAACAAGTTAAA